TAATGGGATAACATGTTGGGCCGCAGGTTTGCAAGATGTACTAACTACGCAAAGGTATCTTTATTTGAAGATTATTGCCAGACAATTTACACCTACAACCTATGGGTTAACTACACACAGAACACTCTGTTCTCTAACGAGTTGTGTGCAATAATATATTCCAGGTGCTGTTGCAATTGTGTAACGCGTCAGGAATGTTCACCAATACACATGTAGATGACTTTCCTGCCATAATGCAAAAGAGTGCGGCATCCATGACGCCCATAGTGTTTGGCAGTGGTAACAGCATTATGAAAATCGTTGCTGGTAGGCTCCAGAGTTCATTGCTTGAACACTCGACCAAACTTCAAGTGTACCTTAACCCTGGTACGGCAGCACATGAAGGTATACATTGAGGGATCTTGTTACGTTGAACAAAAGTGTTTATTAATTATTAACATTAGCATGTCATGTCAGCATTACTGTGTTCTGGTCGTGAAGGGTAAGAATGCTGGTGAAAATACAGGCACATGGGACTTGTCAACTTATGTCTCAGGGTGACGGGCACAGTGGGAGTGCCCCTCAGATCTTTGCGATTTAAAGCTCTGAGTGGTATTGCAACTGTTATGGACAGGCGTGCAGCTTACCATCAGGCGCACGTCTTGTTCGTCCCGTCACTTGATATTATTTAAAAAAATCGTACCTACAATAATGCACGCACTCAACATAGCCCCGCACTAGGGAAATCCTGTGTCGCGGGTGCTATGGACACACACATAGACAACCACAAATTACACCCAAACTCACGAGAGAAGTAAATGTAGGCCATATAAATATTTCTCCCAGCCCGGGAATCAAACCTGGGACCTCTGCGTGGCAGTCCGGCATGGTAACCGTTCGGCCACAGAGGCAGTCGAAACCTATGAAATAAAGATATTTTTGACTTTTTTATTTTAATTTTTTTTCTTATACTTCAGTGTACATTATACATACGACGTCACGATAGGAGTATAAGGACATATTAGTCCTCGTGCTCCTACCAGTAGAAGCACCCAGTAGGAGAATGTGGAAATGGCTATGAAAATGGTGAGTCATTTCTCCCCTACTAACCACTTAGATCCGTTGTATGAAACTCAGCCCATATTAATGATGAGATAATTATTCAGTAACATATAAGCATGTATGTAGATGTTATTAATATGCTTTGAGTTCAATATGAATATACTTTAATAAAGCATATTCGTACAACAGCTCTAATAACACCTGTCCAAGATTTGTTTCCACCGAAGTGTACCTCTACAAGCACATCGGTACTTATTTATATGGTCACCCTAACACGATAATGTGGCTCCCGCTTACACATGCCTCCTCCAAGGAGTTCCCTAATGTTTTATTTAAATCCCTTTACTTAGCACGATGTAGCTTTAACTTCACAGTGAGATTCCTTAATTTATTATGGCTGCCGTTTTCAAAGAAAGATTTAACGTCTTTTAAACTATACGTTCCAATACAAAGTTCCTTACAATACAAATATATTTTCCTGCAAACTTTGTCCTGTAAGTTTGAAACTAAATTTTTCCCTGAGCTAAAGTACCTATGAGGTACAGAGATGAAGTATAGATTGTTAAATTTTCCTGGTTACTTATTAGACAATAATCACAACTTACAGGTAATACGGTGGTAAGAAATATGGGACTAATGAATTTGAAAGATTACGTTTAAAATAGCTGGTTAAAAAGATCTACACTTAGAATCCTACTTTCTAGATAAATTAATTTACATTATTTTTTTTTTTTTTTTTTTTTTATTTGGCTTACAAAACTGGTTACAATGCTTTCAGTCTTAAATAGAAACATGCTTAATTACTACACGAGTACAATGAAACCTACTAGATGTAAGCACAACATGCATATCATTTTCATGTACTACTTCTTACGAACTAATTTGGACTCGGCTAGCCCAATTCCTGTTTATAACTAAAATAAAAAGATTAAAAGTTACTTAAGGTTATTAAGAAAAAGTTAAAGTTACTCAAACTAATAAAGAAACGTGATAAATTAAATTAGATTTTTGAATAAATGTTACGTACACATCGTTTAGCTGAGGAGAAAGAACCACAGAAAATATCGAAATCATTTCGAATGTAGTTGTAGTCGCTACACATTCTATACAAAGGAGAATGATGACCGAGCCTTGTCTTGCATGCAGGCAAAGCAAAGGTTTTCCGATTTTGTAATCGGCTACCTTGCCGAGGGAGAGAAAACTTGACACGCTCCAAAATATCTGGTGAATCAATGTGACCATGGATTAATTTATATAAAAACATGATATCTGAAATTTTTCTGCGCACATATAATAAAGGAAGACCGTAATGAGCGACACGCGACTGATAGGAGAGAAGACGTTTACACATGTTATCAGAGTATGTCAAATGGTACAAGAATCGCTTCTGCACAAGCTCCAATCTATTAGAATAGACCTGGTAACCTGGATTCCACACTGGACTACAATATTCAAGAATACTCCGTATTAAGGAGTTGTAAATGATTACGGTGAGTTGTGGATCCTTCAGTATTTTCATTTGTCGAATAATAAAACCAGACAATCTAGACGTTTTTGTAATGATCGAGTCTATATGATGTCTAAAACTAAGAGTACTGTCCATAGTCAAACCCAGGTCGCGAATCTGAGTGACCTCTGTCAGAGGCTTGCCCTGAATAAAGTAAGTAGCTGTGATAGGATAGGACTTCCTACTAAATTTAATATGAAAACATTTACTTAAATTAAGTTTCATGCCATTTTTATTACACCAATCATTTATGTTATCCACATCTGCCTGAAGAGCACATATGTCATTTGAACTGGTGATTGATCGGTATATTTTTAAATCGTCTGCATACATTTTGATTTTAGACGTAATCCTTCTGGTTATGTCGTCAATAAATATAAGAAAAAACAAAGGTCCCAAATGGGATCCTTGTGGTACGCCAGAAGGAACACTCCTGGTTATTGATTGATAACCATGAATGGCTACCAACTGAGATCGATTTTTCAGGTATGACTCACACCATCTCAAAAGAGATCCGTGAATACCCATGTGTTCAATTTTCAAAATCAGAAGGTCATGGTTTACTAGGTCAAAGGCCTTTTTAAAATCGGTATACACTGCATGTACCTCTCCTCTGTTATCGAGCACATCACAGACATAGTCTACGTATGCAACTAAATTGGAAGCTGTTGACTTACGAGGTCGAAATCCATGCTGGTCTGCGTTAAGAAAACCCTTAATATGATTATAAATATACTTATGTACAAAGGACTCAAGGACTTTCCCAGCTGTTGATAAGAGAGAAATTGGTCTATAATTACTTACTTCATCCAGAGCACCTCCTTTATGAATAGGAGTGAGACGCGCAGTCTTCCAAATCGTGGGAAATGTTCCTGAACTAAGAGAGACATTAAATATCATACACAAAGGTTTAGATAGTTGATTTGCACAGTATTTGAACAAAATTGGTGGTAATAAATCGGGCCCTACTACCTTATTGCAATCTAGAGAGGATAAATAATCTAACACCTCACTTTCCGATACAGAAAAACTGCTCAGCGCAGGGATATTTTTACCATCCAAAAATCCACGGCTAAGATCAATTGAATATGTAACATCGTTTTCATATACGGTCTGGAAATAGTGTGAGAACAAATCGCATATCTGTTGTCCACCAGTAGCATTTACATTAACCAACCTTACTTCGTTAGGAATGTTCACTCGATTTGACTTTTTGTTGTTAATGAATTGCCAAAAGTTCTTTGGATTGACACGCAGATGTACTTTAGCCTGCTCTTTGAATTTAGCATAGCACTCCGTAATTAAAGCATCGCATCGCTTTCTCAATATATTATAGGTAAGTTTATCTAATGGATTATTATATTTTTTATGTCTGGAGTGGTACTTTGCTTTTTCTTTGATGACTTTAATCAGCGGTAGGCTATACCATACAGGGTATTTAGTGTCTCTCCTAACTTTATTAGGTGTAAATTTAAGTATTATTGGCATGATGGAATTATAGAATTTGTCTACCATATCGTTCACGTCTTTCATGTCACTCCAGATTACGTTCCAATCTAGCAGACTTAACTCGTGATTAATGGCTTCAAAATTACTTACTCCAAAATTTAAACTAGTATTGTGCTTAGGATTTATCCATTTGTTATGGGTGGAAAATAAAATATTAATTACTAAGGGGGGATGATGGTCATCAACTTTTTCAAGTAATGTATCAGAGGCTCGAACAACAGTCAGGTTGTCTGGTTGTTTAAAAAATACTAAGTCGAGTGTTCTCTCGTTTAAGTTCTTAATAGCGTTACATTGAAATAGGTTGTTAAAAGACATGTTATCTATAAGCATATTTTCAAGATTAGCTGTAATTGGCAGAGAAGACAAGTAAGTACTCTCTGCATTCATTACCCATACTAAGTTGGGTAAGTTGAAGTCTCCCAAAACCAACGCTAAAGAAGACTGGGAAATGTTGTTTTGAATGTTATGGGTTATATTACTAAGCAACTCCTCTAAGTAATCAACTTTAGGAGGCGGAGGAACATAAACTACACAAATATGCAATTCCCGACCATGGTAACATTTCAAAGTAACCCACAATTCTTCACACATTGATTCCCAGTTAGTTCGTCTAAGAGGCTTATATTTCTTACTTACAGCCAAAACGATACCCCCGCCGTCCTTTTTAGTTTTGTGAGATGAAGTGGTACATCGGTCTCTTCTGAATATATCATATCTATCGTCAAGAAGTTCACGATTGAAAACGGTATCATTAAGCCAAGACTCGGTCAACGCTATCACGTCATAATCATTGCTTAATGCTGATGTATATAATTCCTCAGTTTTGGTTCTTAATCCCCTAACATTGGCATAATATATTTTTAAAGACATTGTGATGAAAGAAAATATATAAAAAAAAACATGCATCGACTAAAAATTTAATATTAATACTAAAAATATTGTACTACAGAGACTTTAGGAAATCCATATTTTTAACAAGCTTAGCAGAGTCTTTCTGGTCTTTGCGAATGAATACACGACCGTTTTTTACCCAAACAAATTCATAGTGCTTTTCTTTTGCGACTGATCGTGTTGCTGCATGCAGTAGCTTGTTTGCTGGCGATAAATGTTCCATCACGTAAACTGGCTTCTTGCTGGATGCTATACCAAGATGCGATGTATTCAATTTGTCTTGTTTGTTATGCTCATTAAAGACCTTAGTCGCAGCCAATACTGAATCGCGTGTACGCGTACTAGAGAACTTCACTATGATATTTCTGGGCCGGTCGGATTTCGAATTCTGTTTTGCCACACGGTGAAAAGACAAAATTTCATTATCAGGAACATTGCATGACACAGTCTTTAAAAGTTGTTGAATGAGATTGAGCAAGTTTTCATTCTTAAATTCAGGTACAGATTGTATTTCGATATTACATTCTCTATACTGCTGCTCCATATGTCCTAGTTTTATACTTATGTCTGCTACCTGAGCACTTAGAAGAGTATTGTCCTTAATTAACTGGCGTATTGTACCTTCCGTCTCTTTATTTAATTTGACCTGATCATCATGCCGCTCCGATAAGAACTGCACGGAATGTATTGCCTCGTCAAGATCAGCACGAATTGATGAAATCTTGGTACTAAGATCTGTAACTTCTGTTTGCATTACTGAAAGAATAGAATTAGTTTTTTCGAGACTGACTTTTTGCGTTTCAAACTGGTTGTTCATGTCCGACCTCAGGCGCCGAATCTCTTCCAAGCGCCGTAAAATATGCGGCGCTTACGCGTTCACGTGAAATGCTTCACAATAATTTTGATGTGGGTGTCTTTATGCAAACGTATTTGCACTTTTAGATATTATTGAGTTTCTAAGGAACTTCACTGGCACTTTGTAATGTCACTGCGTATCAAAGTTGTCTGTTTATAATAATATATTGAATTAACACTGAATAAATCACTATTATCTTATAAAATGAATTAATTTTGCGGAACAAGAATTTATGCATCCGAGTCGAACGGTAGCTCGCGAAATATCCGCAAAATATATATGAAATAAATGAGAATTGGGCAACAATTGTAAGTTATCTTGGGCTTTTATTCTATCGAAACAACGTATCTAATAGTATTTTCGACAATAAAAATAAGACTAGACATACACTTAGCCAACCACAAATTCCATCCCAAACTCACGAGATAAATAAATGTAGGCCATACAAATATTTCTCCGGGCCCGGGAATTAAACCTGGGACCACAATGTGGCAGACCAGCAAGTTAACCGTGCATCCACAGAGGTAGGTAGCTGATTAGTCAAGAAACGCACGCCTGATATTCAAAACTAAAATTGACTCATTAAGTAAAATATAGAGACCGAAAATGAGTGAAATTTAAAAATCGCCTTATACAATTTATAACTATACAGCCGTATAATTACACAAGCTGTACACCAAAATTTGACCAATAGGAAATTAGAGAAAGGTCTGACATTCTGACATTAATCATCAGTAATAATCTGCATTCTTGATGGTGGTGAGAGTAGCGTGGTACAATAACTTGAATAATAAAAACTCCATGGTAATTCCATAGAAACGTAGCAGTAAAGTTTGTATGTGTGCGCCTCCGCTGCGAGGTGTACGAACGCACACATTCGCATAATCTCGCGGTGCACTCGCGTTGAATAGCGCGGCGAAGAAGGGCGAAGATCTCTCCCAAAATCCTCCATTGGTCTCTCGTCTTTGGCGATCTCCCACCACGCCCTCTCAAACCCATCAAGATCGTCCCGCCAATAACTTCTCGGGCTTCCTCGCCGTCTCTTTCCATCCTCGGGCACCCAAGGAGTGACGACGATCTCCCACTTCTTGGGTTGCATCCAGCTAACGTGGCCTGCCCAAAACCATTTGAGCCTTGCTGTTCTTCTCCCCACATCAGGAATATCAGTCATCGAACGCAAAATTGTATTGCGTACTCGATCAATACGTTTAAAGCCCTGAATGTTGCGTTCCATCGCCCTCTGATAGATTATTATTGCTGTGTTTGTGGTAGTTTGAACAAAAGTGCCTCAAATTCAGAATTTTTCAGCATTTCATTTTTATTTCCTAGTCATACTCCATAATCAATGCGATGTTATAAAAATATCAATACGTAAGTACCTACAGCATTTAACAAAGGCTATTCCAATATAGCACTAGAATACTGTCTTAAACACTTTTTTTAAATTATGTTTATAATCTGCAAGTGCAACCAAAATGATTGTAACAACCTTACGCTCAATACTTAAATAATTATGGGTATCATAATCTTCACCGTTTTGGCATAACTGCCGGCAACCACTGTCCATGTGACCCTAAATACCGCATAAATAAAACAAACATTAGCGCACCTCCTTTATGACTGTCCAAGATTTGCTTCTAGCAGACCCAGTCACATAATGACCTGTCAGAACCTCAGAATAAACTCAATAGACATTCGTAGTTCTCTCACTAAAGAATCATCATCAGAAAGTTTTCACACCCTTCTTACTCACATCATTTCAAATCTTAAGAGCTTTAATGGTACATAATTAATATAACTGAATTAGCTCGCCCTTAACTTCTTCCTTCGCAATTCTTTTATGTTATTTTATTTATATTATAATTTTATGTTAAATATATAAATATAATATATATTGATTTTTGTTATGTCGCTTTATTACTATTACTATATCTATTTTTAATATTATTATATTTATTTTTGTTATTATTACCATTAATATTTAACTAAATTCCTACTCTAACGTATATTAGCCGGTATCCTATCATAGCCACAAACAGCTACTCCTAACCACATAATGCACGCCACCAAGCAGTAAACCACTGTCATTAATCGCTCCCACCTTCAACTAACATTTCACAAAATGTTGGACACAAAGTGTAAACCGATAACGCGGTGTGTTCAACGAAATACGCAAAACACAAGGTGGGGTTTTCAGTCCGTAGGCTACTGGGCACTACTCCCACAACGAAAAAAAAATAAAGAACCTATACTGATCCGATAGAGTCCCAGACCACGCAGTTGACCTGGTTTCCATACCAGTATTCGTACAATTTCCAGAGGTAGTTTAATGGCTTCTAATTTCTTAACTTTTCTTACTTTTCTTAATTTTCTAAACACATTATAGGAAACCAGGTCAAAAGCCCTAGATAAATCCAGGAAACAGGCGTAAACCATTGTCTTTCTAGTCAGGTAATATCTGACAGTATACTTAAGACACAGTATCGCACTCTCCGTGGACAACCCGGGCCGAAATCCGAATCGGTTATGATTTAGGTACAAGTGTTTGCTTAAGTGCGTTAAGCATACTATCAAACACTTTTGCTTTAATAGTCGCCAGAGAAATTGGTCTGTAACTACTGGAGTCAGACAAATTTCCAGTTTTATTTTTTACTACAGGTATTACAATGGTTTTCATTAAATCCTCGGGCAAGTAACAATGTCTGACACACAACGTATATATCATTGCCAACACTCTTGTTGGAGATTGGGGATTTGGATTTGGTATGCTAGTCGGGTTGAATAATCTAGGTGTTAGTAGATTTAAATCGCACTCTAGCATGAGAGGGAAAGATCACGTAACGTTGACGTATACACTATGGACTCATGACACTACAGATTGTGTTATAAGACAATGATCCAATCATCGTCTACATTGATAGGCTTCGTTTATATAGGTATAAGTAGAGCTTTTGTACATCGATATAACACCAATCCAGTTCATCACAATGGTTAATAAGTTCAGTGGAAAAAAGTTCATTCGGATGAGCTTTGAAATCAACCAGTATGTAGACCGATTCTCTGTCGTATTCATCAACAGTAGCACTCACTGCACCGAGGTAGCACTATTTGTTGGCATGTATACACTAATCACTATAATAGGGCGATCTTTAGTCACTACCCTCATTGCGCACACTCTCGGATTATCACACGACACTACCGACACATCCTGAAAACTATACCCCTCCACAGGAGGATGACGCCCCCATACGGTCGCCCGCGCAGCATGCCAGCCGTTGTATTCATTGCAGATGTCCCTGTTGCACATAAATCGTCATTAATGCTATTCACATATGTAATATCCTCTGGGAACAGCCATGTTTCCTAAAGGCCTATTATGTTACAAGACTTGCACAGCTCTCTGACACCCTCAACACAATGTTTAACACTTTTAACAATTGAAGGTTGCAAATGTATACGATCTTGAAGTCATATTTAAAATTTTGGTACATTGCCGTTACCAGAGCTTGCTCTGCGTGGTTGTTTGTGTTTGTAATGCACAAATTTACGAAAGATAATATCTTTGGGCCTTACATCACTACTTAAAAATAGTGACACTTTCGATTCCGCGACAAAGAACTTAAAAGCTTTGTAAAACTTTTCATTTCTAATTTAAATTTTTTCCAAAGTTACCAATTCTTGCGTTTTTTGTAATATGTAGTCTGTTATCTCGGAATCGATTGCATCCTTCTCGGTTTTCTTATAAACATTTTAATTCTACGTTCAGCTGTTTTAAAATTTACGTCTGCAATATTCGCAGTTCCAACTTACCCTCTGTAGTAGTCGTTGTTGGATTTCTTTTATAAGTTGTACAGTCTGCCAATTATCTTTCATAACTTTTTTTTTTGCGACATATCCAAATTTATAATAAGCGCTTTCGCATACGATACATCGTGCGTAATTGATTTCGAAGCGCTCGGCAGGACCGGCATAGTCATCTGTTCGCCGCGATGACTCACCTCGCCCGTTCTAGCGGCAGAGGCCAGCGGCGGCGGCCACGGTGTGATCTGTTCTCCGTGGTGGAGTGACTACCAGATATTAAAATCGAGCGATATTGTGCACCTATACTCAATTTTTTTAAAGTAGGTGACGATGTTGTCCCTTTACACATGTCATCAGTATAATTTAATATTGAGTTTTGAGGGTGTGAAATACCTAAGGGCCCACTGTCCAAACGCCAAGCTCCCCGTTTTCCATTAATATTGCACGTCGATAATCTGGACGGGGCAATAATTTTCATTGCTTTTACGGCTTCCTTCAGATCTTGAAGTTCATTTGAAGTAACATAAGTCGCTTTGATACTGTCCACATCTGTCTGGAGTCGCACGATGTCCTTCAAAAGTTTAGTACATTCCAAGTGACCGAATAATATTTTTAGAAGGCAATTTTTCTAATTGGCGAGCCACAAATACTGGTATTGAACTGGGGTCTGCTGTTCTAAATAAGTTTATGATATCATTTATATCACGTTGCTCCTTCCTGTCTCCTTTGCGCCGTACATTTTGCTTATCCGTCGATTCAAACAGTAACGCTTTTGAGTTTTTAACCTCCGCCCCTGTGAACGCCGTCGTACATAAACGCACCAGGGTTTCCTCATCAATAACCGACAATTTATTTTGTATGTTTGACAACATTTTGTCAATGACGATGTTACAGACATTACACTTCGCCGTAACCGACATATTGTTTAAGACATTCACGTGCCGGTCGAGAAAAATTAGAACACAATGTAACAATTAATGGATGCGTGTGTCACCGCTGTGCGCTCGCGCGAGACAGAACAGCTTGGTGTATCTTGAGATAATACGTCAAGATGCATCTCAAGCTGTTTCTGTAACAATTGAATATAATTGGTACCTTTACGAGGACTTAATAACGATCTTCAACCGTAGCCTCAGTGTTAAATGGTCTTATTAACAACGAGAAGTGACATTTATTAATAAAGGCACTTGATTTAAATAAGATCATAAATATCGATCCTGCAGGCCTACTACGAAATACGATATGTGGTTAGCAAATGAGTTAACAAGATTTTCAAAATAAAAGCAGCTTCGATTATGAAAAGTGAAAACTAAGTTTTCAAAAAACTTAAAGATTAAGGTGCTTTGAGAGTTTAATCAAACCTTAAAGCTTAAAATAATGTTGTTCATACAAAAAGCAGAAATGATTTTTAAAATTTTGTATAATAAAATTATTAATGTAATAAACTTGAAATACGCCACGGCCCTCCAAATTTGAGGTGATTCCATATTTTAAGCGATGTTGAGGAAAGTCCTGAGTGACTGGATGAAGTCAACCACTGCAACGGAACGTTACAATGTTGTTAAATTCATTGTAGAATAAATCGTGTTTTAAATTTAGCACTATTAAAAATTTAACACATATATTATCTTCAACAAATATATCCTTTTTTTAATAATAATTGATTATAAAACATTAAAGCCATGATTTACCATGGACAAATTGGTTAAATCTATAGTGGCTTACGTTGCATTTTGGAATGATGTCGGAGACCCAGAGAGGGGAGGCGCCGGCGTTCGCCGAGCTCTGATAGGCAGCGTTAGAACGTCTTCAGAGCTTCTCCACGTTCAGTTTGGCCGCGCTCGCGATATAAGAAACCGTTAACGTATTTTGAAAAGTGCAAAATATTATTTTTAACGAAGATTATTGCTTTCCAATCACATTAAACGTACTTAAATAGTTTCCGCTTAGGGTAACTTGAATGACACACAAAACACTTGTAATGCTTTTATTTGCTAATTTCATGTTTTGTATTTTACCAAATAGTACTATGTCGTTATTGCAGCTCCTTCTACGATTGTATAGATAAATATAGACAACGTAAATTTGTATTAGAGAAATTTTGAAGATTGCATCATTGACTTACAAATAAATGGACGACGGGTCTAATACAAAAACCACGAAAAAAATGTCCCAAGTCAACCTATTCGAAATTTAAATTGTAATGTCATCGCAGTATCGCGCTGTCAGTAGAACAAATGAAGACTAAAGCGGAGTTTGGCGCTCTGTATACGATTTTAGCGCCTTACAAGTGCGGACACTTTTTAGCGCGGACCCGACGTCCATATAATTGTAAGTCAATGGATTGCATCATCAAAATTTCAAATTGTAACGATCAAATTTAATTGTATTTTTTCACCAGACGTAGTTTTCTTTGGCTTATTTAGTTTTTATTCTTTTCTAACAAACGTCTTGGCCTTCGGCCTAATTACCTAAATTTTTATTTTATCTATTTTCACACATTTTGAACTGCAACTCCGTTCTGGTCGCGCCACCGGCAATTGCTACTACGTAGGTGCTTCCCTAATTTTCTTTTGCCGTCTGTGGGCTTTCAGAACGGAGGCAAAAGAACTGTTACTACCAGTTGGTTGCCCGTTGCAGGAGTCACCTTCGAGTTGGAAAGTTACCTTCGGGTTAAATTACCTTCGGGTTGGAAAGCTACCTTTGCTGAGCTTCCTTCGGGTTCATACACCTGGAGCTTGACTACGTCCGGACTCGGACGAAGCATTTCCGTTGAACGGCTACCAATTGCTGCTCGTCCTGTGGCCCTTCTTCTGCGCCGGCAAATATACAGGGGAGCACCATTCTCGGAAGCGGAAAACCTAAAGTGTTAATGCACGTAACCACACCCGTAATAAATTTATGTACCGTTTTTTTTTTAATTTAAATTTTAAATTGTAAATTATTTTTTTATTTTAATTATAATTAATTCAATTTTCGGATTTCCTTGTTTGATTTTCTACCCTCGAAGGGAAAGTAAAAGCTAGGGAATCGAACCCGGTACACCACAACTGCTACTAAATGGTATGTGTCGGTGATTATTTATTTTATTATATATATTAAAACTATACATGGTTATTTTTTTCTCAACATCATGTGCTGTGGCCTAAATAAATTTGGGATCTCAGTAGCGCTTTTTGTCATAACATAACAAGTGACGGGATGAACAAGTCGTGCGTCTGATGGTAAACAAAGATCTGAGGGTCACTGTCATTGCGCCCGTCACTTTGAGACATAAGTTGACAAGTCTCATGTGATAATGATGAAATCTAGAAAAAAAGACCACATTTAGCTTGATTGAGTTTTAGTAACCAAATAAAACAATTATGACAAATCATTACTTTTTTATTGGCCCTTGAACAGTATTAACTTAGTATACATATTTCGAACTGAAAAAGTATTGAAAAGTAAAAAAAAATACAATATTTAAAATGACCCATAAATTGGGGAAAAGATAGTGGCAAAAGCACGGTATCCCTAAAATCAGCTTAAGCCTGTCTTATTTAATTTATACGTTATTTATTTGATCTCTCTTTCTCGCGTATCATAACCACTGCTGGTAGAAGCGAGATGGACATATTTGACAAAAGTAAGATATTCTCCTTATTTTAGGAGGTTTATACGATGCAAACAAAAATCTTTCAATCATGAAAAATACTTTATTTAACATCTAAAATACATGATATCCTATTATTTCAAGCTTTTAAGACTATTTCACTAGTAATTCATACAAGAAAATTCATTCATTGTAATGAAAAATAAAAATTTACGCGTGAAAGGTTATGTTGGGAATTTTTCGTTCCGTATGGCTTTTACAGCCTAAATTATAACAATGCACCATTATTGTGAGCTGCAATAATTGTTAATTACTACAAAGGAACGGTTTGTAACTTCGTAAAACACTTCTTAAAAGCACAAACACAAAATCGATGCACATCAAACACTCGGAATAATTTGATGGACTCAACCAGCGTTGACTCATACAACCAAGACCGCATACGTAGAAAGGGAGAAAAAATAATATTGTTTTCTCGTTTCCTCTCATATGTATGTGCATAAATCTATCTCGCTTATACGGTTTTTATTATTTATAGCGCCCCTCTACCCAATTCTCCCTCTACGATTAACACCCTTACCCTCCGAAACCTGAACGTCTAATGTTAAAATTTTGGACATTTCTAGGTTTATTTTTAAAATGTTATTGATGACGATTTACTCACTAGGTAACCTATTTTCGATATCAGTTTAAAGCTTTTTGATGTTTCTTGTATTTATGGAATAATCGCCTGGGCACACTTAACGATTACACCCTATATACCTAGCTAGTAAAGCGACAGAAACTCAAGATATAAATTAACTATAAAGTGAATACTACTACTAGTAGAAACTAACTACTAGAAAGGTAGAAAATGTATTTGAAGACCAAACTGATGAAAATAGAGGAGGAAAATGTGCTACTGAAGTTCTTCGTAAGCGGCAGCCATAAATAATTTGATGGCCACCCTTATGGCAACAGCAGCAGCATTAAGTCAAGAACAGTAACTTGTTCGTTTTGTTCATAAAGTTTTTTTCAAATGAGAAAATTCCGAGTTCTTAGGTTTTCGCGATTGTTACACATAGGAAATGAAACTATTTTTCCGGATATAAATCGCGTTTATTTGTTTTTTCAAACAAACCGACGTTTCGGGCCCTTTACAGGTCCCATGGTCACGGTTGACTGAAACGTCGGTTTGTTTGAAAAAACAAATATACGCGATTTAAATCCGGAAAAACAGTTTCCTTTCCTATGAGAAAATTCGTTAATGACATTTGAATCTGAAAATGGTGGTATATAACTAGTATAATATAATTACCTGCTTGGTTCATGAACGTTCCTAATAAGTTCGTAATAAATAAAATAAAATAAAAACACTTTTTTTCTCGTTTACTTTTCGCACCTTAATAAACTGGTAATAATTTCTTGCCATACTCGTCTACCTTCCAAAAGCCCAGCACCTCTAGGCAAGGGCGATTGCCTCTCAATCTGTAATCAGTGCGTCTTTTCGCAGATCCGTACATTTAATAAAATTTAGACAAGCAATAAAATGATACAATAAAGCATCAGTCGACCTTTCATAAGGACAAACGGAGTCTTGATAAAACTTAAAATGAATCACTCACCAAAAATATTTTCTGAAAGCTGGGCGTCGCTTACTATTTTAACATCGGTAAGTGGTCTCAAAAGGTCGTGATTCCTCTGACGTCGCCTTTTACTCGTCGAGAGCCTCTTCAATTAGCATTTTTACACAAGTATTACAAAACGATCTCTCTCGATCTATTATTGGTTTTATATCAATTTTACGACTCAATTACTGTCCAACTACGACACAAAATCTGTCGTATGAAGTTTCTGTGTGAGGTTTGTCAAATACGTGTGTCAAATTATGATGTTCGACCGAACTTCGGGCTGATATTAAATAGAAAGCATTTTGTAGGAGCAACAGTAAACCAATAAAACGATTTTATTGTTATTTAGTATTACATATTTAACTGCCTCCGGTTTCGATTCCCGGGCCGGGAGAAATATTTGCATGGGCTACATTTTATTTCTTTCGTAAGTTTGGGTGTAATTTGTGGTTGTCTATGTGTGTGTGCATGGCACCCGCGGTATAGGCTTATTCTAATGCAGGGCTATGAGTGTGTAAAAATATCAAATTTAGAAGAACCTTATGTCAATTTGCATTGTGCGCTTGCACTATGTTAGTAGCGACACCTTGCGAGCTGCACTACTTAACACTACGGCGCGGTATATTAGGTTCTACTAACTGGTACGTAGTAAACTCGCTAGGTGACGCTATAACTGCTCACACGATGCGCGCAGTCGTGGCCGTCCGCTGCCATATAGCGATGCGCGATGCGGGCGTTTCTGGTTGCCTAACCGCTCACGCGATACATGCAGCCGTAGACGCATACCACACCTAGAGG